AGTGGAAAACCATATATTAGACAAGACTTAATTTTCCAAAGGAAAGGGAATTTCCTTTGCACATATTTTCTAGTCCTTTTTAATTTAAATTTAGGTGGTAATAAATTCTTTATTTTGTTATATACATTTCAAAAATAAGAAGCAAAAATATGTAACCACAGGAATTCTAGCAGAACTATCACTGTACATTGGATAAGGTGAATCTACACCAAAGGGAGTCTCTTCTGGACAATGAACTCATCCTAGGAGTAGCTATGTCCCACGTGAGGAAATCTGTCCACAACCACAGCAGGTAGACTGATATGTTGGTAATCTGGTGGTTATTTCCAGTGTATGAAGTTGCAGACGCTGGGAGGGACTGCGTATGGAAGATTATCCTTGTGTCTGAGGAGACTACTGAATGGGCTCCCTATTTCCCTTCTCAGACTCTGAACCAGTCAAGAAGGGCAAAGTGAGAGGCAGATGGAAACCAGGGAGGCTGGGGGAGTGTGTGCTCAGCCCTCAGTTGGCAGTCAGGCATTTCCACCTCGGATCACAGGTCCAGCAGCGCAAACACCACAGATGGGCAGGGAGGGGCACAGCAAGAACCACGCTGGCCAGGTGTGTCCCCACCCTAATCCTGCCTTTCCAGAAGAGAGTAGAGACAGAGGGAAAATCCTCGGCAAGGCAGAGGACGGGGACTAAAAGCACTTCTGCCCCCAGCACCACCAGATGAGGATGAACTCCCATGCGGAAGAGGCTTCTAAAAACTGCATTTAAATTTTTAGAGCAATAATTTTTGGCATTGCAAGTCTACCTTCTAAGTTTTTCTTTTTAATTCAACATTTTTAAAGGCCTTTTAAATTTCTGTCAAACTATGAAAATTTTTTTCAGAAGTTTATTTGTCCACAATCTCAGTGCTCAAAACTGCTACTATGTCAATGATGACCTTTTACTCAGAATCCATTATTTGTTACATTGTGTCACAGTGTTCCAGTTTTTAAGAACATTCTCATTAGATATGGTGGTAACCTTACTCTATACATCCTCACGTTGTAGTTCTAATAGGTAGACTAATCACCTGTGGGATGGAAGCTCGCAAAAGATCTCCTCAGATACTGGTGCCTACGACAAAGTCATAGTGAGAAGGAGTGGTTGCAAGGGTGGTACAAGCTAGGAAGCAATTTTTCTGGAATCCAACAAAGATTCAAGAGAAATACTGAAGAAGTGGTCAAGATGTTCATGTTCAACAGTGAAATAAAATAAGGACTAAAATATACTTTGCCTCTGTCAACTAAGAAATCACTGCGTACCCAACAGTTACAGTTTTAGCAGAACAAACAGATAAAAACAGCTTAGAAACTGGCCAAGGTCACTGGAGATGGCACTGAATGGAGTATAAGTTATAACTTATAAAGTTAATTATGAGAAGAAGGAAAAAGAAAGCACGAGATCTTACAGGAAATGTTAAATTGAAGGAAAATGAATATTCTTTCATAAAAGTTGCTACCAATTAATAAACATACTGAAATCTTATAGCAACTGGTAAAACTTATTCTACAAAATGGTACCATACAATAAAATGCTAATTTCTATGATTCTGACAATTAGACCATATGATACAAAATGGGGCAAGAGAGTTCTGAGTGGACATAGTGACTGTAGCAAAGGCTGTGGGAGAAGAGAGTTTGGCAGTTCCTTAAAATTAGGAACAGAGGCCTAGGAAGATGGCAACAGCAGGAAAAAAGGTATCGATTGAGGCACAACAATTAGAATACAAGCTACATTTTGAAATATCCACTTAAATTAAAATTCCTCTCATTACTAATTCCTCCTTCACAGATCTCAAACAACTGTTCAAATTCAACCCCTATCTTTCTTCTCTTTTCAGTCTCCAAACCTACAATTAGCTCAAATCTGAAATTATTCATGAAAGTGGGCACAAAGAAAATAAAATAGTTTGAGTTGGTTTACAGCATATTTTTCTTTTTCCTTGCCTAAGTTCATATTTATAATCTACCACATGCAGTACATAGTAGGCACAAGACATGACTTAGGCACTCTGCTAACTCATACTATCCTCACGGCAACCTTGTAAGAGAACTACTTTCATCCTCGGTTTTACAAATGGGAAAACTAAGACACAGCAGACAGACAGACTAAGTTCTCCAGGTTTTCTACTGGTGGGCAGCAGCGGATTCCCACCTCGGCTGTCCATGGGTGCAACCAGCTTCACAGTACTACTCTACCCTGCCTTTCCTCTGTTGCCTTTGAGCCTTTCTTCCATATTTGGTTTTGCTTAGGCATAAGTTAAAGTAATATTAGTTCATGATCTGAATATTTTAAAAGTGTATGATGTCTTATCATGAACAACAATGGTCCCAACACTTAATTCTATCCTTGGCTACACACATCAGAAATAATCATTGTTTACTTTTAACATCATGTCAGTATTTCTGTAAAAAGTTTTAGTATAACAAGATCCCAACAATGAACGTAACTGTACTGTATCCCTAAAATGTACCAATAAACTCAATTAAGCTGAAAAAAAAAGTTTTAGTATAACAAGATCCCAACAATGAACGTAACTGTACTGTATCCCTAAAATGTACCAATAAACTCAATTAAGCTGAAAAAAAAAGTTTTAGTATAACAAGATCCCAACAATGAACGTAACTGTACTGTATCCCTAAAATGTACCAATAAACTCAATTAAGCTGAAAAAAAAAGTTTTAGTATAAATTTTGTAAGTAATACATTTTAACTATTCACTATGCATACACATATTCTGAAAGGTAAAAACAAACCCCACACATGTCCTGCCTGCCACTATTGCAGACATTACAGAGAAAATTGACAAGAAAGCAAAATCCTCCCTGGTTCCCACTTACCTGAAGCTCATTACCATTCTAAATTTCTTCATTTAAAAAAATGTATTTTCACATAACAAGAATAGTTGTTCCTATTGATGGTTCTTTTAAAAACACACCGAGTGAATAACTACCTTTATGCTTTGCACTGAACCTTGCCCTTTTTTTCAGTTGACAATCTCTCCAGCATTTTCCCAAGACATATATACCTGCTTTCTTTCCTTACATGACATTCTGTAGTAACATCACACCATAATTTATTTTTCCAATGTTTTTATATTAATGGATATGTTTATTGTTTCCCATTGCTTTTATTTTTATATATCTTAAATGTGTTGTGAAATTAGTGAATTAACGTAAGTAAAGCATATGTTTCTTATCCCAAACATAAAGAAGAAAGACAATTATACAATCTAAGAAAAATGGCTGAATATGAACATCAAGAAGTAAATATGAAGTAGGCTGAAATGTAGCATAATTTTAAGTAAGTAGTAGAGTCTGAGCAAATGTGTTTGAATTTTGCACTATGAGTTTTCTAAGCAGCACACGGATATGACACTGAATTCATCGTAATCCTGGCCCTACGGCAAACAGCTCTGGCAGTAATGCTGGGAGTGGGAGTGGGTGGTAGCTTGATGTGTAGGGAAAATGAAACTCCCTATGCTAATGTTCACAGTTGAGATTTCAATGATTGCGATTCTGTGACTTCTCTGACGGCAAGATGACCTGCAGCTGAGGAATTATGACTCTTGTGCAGCCATTCTCCCAGATCAAATGCTAGCTACAGATAACACCGGTGACCTGTCCTTCACTAGAATATGATAGTTCCTCCCTTTTCCAAAACTGGCTCATCATCAGTGCCTTAGCCTGCTGTTCCTTACATCTGCCTATAGGCCTCCTGCTGTGTTGTCTGAGTAATAAATACTGACAAGTCTGGAGCTTATGGTCTGAGCCATGATCAAATCCCACCCCCCAGTAATAAACAGTCATTCTTTATTCTTTGTTCTTTGTATACTTTTTCATCCTCTGCTATACCTGCAGTCAGGTGGCAGGACATCCCCAAATAGTTGAGCATCTCCCAATAGGTTGGGAAAGGCAATTCAAACAAGAAATGACAGTGCTTTGGCTGGCAAGGATGACTCCAAAGCTTGGAGCCTAAATAACACCAGAATGGAGCTGTTGTTAATGGGTGCAGAAAAGGTGGTCCGACAACAGGTTTTTGGTAAGGAAGACCAGCAGTTTTTTTCTGAATTTGTTATGTTGAGAAGCTTATTGGATATCCAACAGAGAGATTCAGTAGATAACAAGCATGATTACAGAGTACAGGGAAGAGGCTAGTCTGGAAATATAAAGCATGCAGCTGATAAATATTGACTTGTCTTTCCTTAAACAAAAGAAAAGGATGAATACAGCCATGGGCACTTTCATTATTCAGGGTAGAGAAGGCACCTGATGGGCTCTGTTTTGTCTGTCAAGGTTAGGACAAAGCTATCTATTGAAAGAGAAAAAGTAGAAGCTGTTTGACACTATTTAATGAAAATATTGCTAAGCAATATTAAGGGCCTAGTTAGACTTAAAAATCTTGAACTTGTAGTAGTTCTAGTTTGCAGTTATACGGTTTTATTTTTGCAATGTTCAATAGCCTGTATGCAAAAACAAGGAAGAAAAAAGCAACAACAAATGAATGATACCAGTGAGAGTATTATAGAATTCACAGCTGTTGAACTTAAAATAGCTTAAAATTTTTACAAGAAATTTATGTAGTATAGTAGTAAAACTCAAATGAACTAAATGTAGTAAGTTGGGCTTTACAGCACCAGTATTCTTATTCACACTAAGAAGACCATTTACATCATATATAGATGTACAATTCACAGGACATTCAAGGAAGGAAAAAGCTTAAGCAAAACTGATTCATTTCATAGTTGTGACATTTACTTCACTGCTCAGATCTCTGTTTTTTTCATTCCACACTGGTTTCATTTGATTCAAGCCAAAATCCCCTGTGATTCTTTCTAACTTTCCCTGGAATTTTTCAACAGACACAGGCATAATAGTATAATTGTGGTCGGTCAAGCCTCTTAACAAAGGATAGAATGTCCTCTTATGACATTCCATAGAGATGAGCTAACCTAGAGGAGGGAGAAGAGAAGCAAGGCCTGGACATCAAGGCTTACTCCAAGCTTCAGGCTCACACTGAATACTCACTAAAGAATCTTTCCTTAGTAGTCTTCACCAACCAGAATTTGAGAAAGACATAATCTAGAGATTGGTGAATGTCTTTCCTATCTTGCTTCCAAAATATCGAGGTGTCCAGAGGTGAGTAAAAAGGAATTTTCAGTGCATTCACAGAACTCACAATCTAGCAGTAACAGAAACCAGACCTGGCTAGTTTAAGGAGAAAGAGAATGATGCTGGAAGTCAGAAATCGAGAAGAGACTCAAACAACCAAGCTTGGGGACGGTAGGAACCAGGTAAGATTATAGATTCAGAGGCAGAAATTGCTGAATTATTCCTTTAGGAAGCTGCTGTTGACATGATTCAGTTACAACTTCTTTGAGGCTTCAAATCTCTGTTCAAAATTCAAAATTCTTAGCAGAATGAAGTTGAATGATAATCCTAAATTCAATGCCTAGCCTTGGATCAACAGGAGAGTGGAGTGTTAAGGGGGAAATCAATAAAGTTAAGAAACATATACATAGTTCTTTTTTTTTTTTCTCAGATACATAGTTCTAAGACATAATTCCTGGGTGGTTTTTCTATAAAAAAGGAACTCCTGAATAAAACAAAACTAAGAAGTTTCTACGACAGGAAAAGACAGGCAATGAGAAGAAATCTCAAGATGAAATATAAGAAAGGGAAAAAGAAAGTGTTAAAGAAAAGATATACTAAAGTAATAAAAGCATCAGGAAAGAAACCATTTTCAGAATATAGAAAGGATGTATGAAAGTTAACCAGTTCAAGAAGACAGAAAGCAATTGGAGAGACAGACCAGGGTGAAAGATTAGAAGCAGCAAAGAGCATGGTGCACTCACCATGCTGCTAGTTGTCAGCACAGCAGGACCAGAGCAAGGTAAACAATATGAAGCAAAAAGCTGGGAAAAGCTGTCTCAACTATGTTAGAATTTTGAGCTTGTTTCCACAGCCAAGGGAAAGCTGTAAGAGTTGCTGATGGAATTAGATTTACCTTGTAACAGGATCCCTTGGGCTGCAGCTAAACTAGTGTGCCTCTGAACCAACTGGTACAGAAAGATGAAGACTTCAGAATCACAGAGGGCTGACATGGAGGGCAGGTGCTCCTGGCTGCTCGTATGATGTCCAAAAGAACTAAACCTTCGAAATGGTAATATTGGCATGTGCAAAATGGAAATAATTACACCAACTTCAGGTTTGTTGTTACTATTAATGAACATAAACATCAATTCTCTGAAACAACATAGTTATTGTTACTTCTCATTATTTTTCCTGATTTTTAAATAGCCATCTAGTTTTCCCTCATTGCCTTTCTACTTGGCTGCTATTTATTGAATACTTATTGAATGTCATGTAAAGCTGAGTGTTTCACAAGCCTCTTTATTCATTTCATCCTCAAACAAGCCTCTAAATTAAAAATTGTTATTATTCACTTCTGATCATGTGGATTCTGAAGTCTGGAGAGCCAAGTGACATGTTCAAGATCAGAGTTCTTAGAAGAGGAGCAAATTCAAGCTTTCCCTGGAGAGTCCAGCTCATTACTGTACATCAGTCTGCACTGGATAAAATCAGTAGGTAACACCCTCATTTAGAATTTTGGATTAAAGAACCCACATAAAAGACCATAAGTGAGCTCAAAACTAATTTTTAAACAATGTAATATAAATATTATTTTACTTTTTTAAATTTTTTGAACTTAGAGATCAGACTGTCATTTAGCTGTTGCTGTGTAACTAGTCACCCCAAACATAGTGACTTACAATACAAACTCACTGCAGCTCATGTCTCCTGTGGGTAGTCTAAGAAGTGCTGCTAGCAAGTGCTAGCCTGACCATTTCCCTGGCCTCCACCTTTTACCTGGCATCTAGGAACCTAGCAAGAGGTATTAGTTTCACATTACTGCTGTAACATACTACCAAAATCTTACTAGCTTAGCATGGCACCAATCTGTTGTCTTAGATTCTGGAGGTCAGAGTCAGTCTTAGCCTAAATTAAGATGCCCACAGGATTGTGCTCCTTCTGGAAGCACCAGGGAGAATCTGTTTATTTTTTTCTAATCTCATGGTTCTTCCCCAGCTGCAAGTATCTCCATACCTCCGATTCCTCCCTTGCTTCATTATTGAGCTTCTCAAATTCTGGTTCTTGAGTCTCCCCCTTTAAAAAGAACCTTTGTTATAACAATAAATTTACCAAGATAATCCAGGATAATCCCTCTCATTTCCAAAATCTTTAATCCTTAACTGATTCCTCAAGGTCCCTCTTGTCATGTAAGGTGGGGAAGGAAACCCACGAGTTCTGGAGGTTTGGATGTGGACATCTGTGGGTAGTGAGAGAGGTGACTTTATCTCCTATGCCTGACCTTCCGCTCTAGGGGGGCCCAGGCTCCAAAGCCTCTGCTCAGCCACCCTTCAGGCTCCAAAACACCACACTTCTCTGGTTTCAGCTGCTCTCACATTTGGTCCCTGTGACTGAAGAAAATCATGTGGCCTATCCAAATTCAAGAGAAAAAGAAATCCACTCCACTTCTTCATCAGAGGATATATGATGTTGCACTCTAGAGATAAGGATGCAAAGAAAGGAAGAATTTATGACCATTTTTTAAATTTTCTACAACTAGCTTAGTATGTAAGATCTTTAAAACACTCCAAGGGCCGAGGATTTAGCTCAGTGGTTCGGTGGCAAAAAAACCAGTCCAAAACTGGTGGGAATAATTAAGGCTTTACAGAAGTTATTTCCTTGGCCTAGAATACTAAGAACGCATTTCTTTCCTCCTGGCTAAATTATTTACCTCCTTACCATAGATTAAATGTGACCTCCTGCAGGATGCCTCTTTGGACCCCAAATCCCACAATGTTCACAGTGCTTTATCTTTGTGCTTTCATCATTCTCGTTCTTAATGCACTGTACTGAAATCACCCATTTATTCTTCAACCTAGTCCACAAGCTTCTTATGGATGACATGGATCTTAGATGTCCTTGCTTTCTCCTGTGACTGAGCAATATATCCAGTTATAGTATATTAATAGGAGTTTATTGAATAGATGTACAAATAAACTCCTATAAACGCCATCCCTCAATTACTGCTAACATTTCTTTAAAATATATTTCTAATTTAGTGAATCTTTAACCTATACGTACTTCTTTTTCTATTTAGCAACCCAACATTTCATTGATAAGCTAAACAGGAAAGGAAGAAATTACTAGTGCTAAATATCAGTCACAGAAAAAGTTTTCCTTGGAACCAAAGCTAAATTAGGATTTTTTGGAACCTTGATAACACAAATTGATTATGTAAAATTTAAAAAGCCAGACTTCTTGCCAAGGAGGCTAATTAGAAATCACCAAAGCTGTCTTCAATTAGGTGGCCACTCAAAATCAGGAACTCAGGCCTAACTGGACTGGAATTCTTTCATACCAAAACCAAAGTAAAAGCTGAGATATTTTGGGATATTTCCAGGAAGGTCTTAAGAGGCTGCCTGATTACTGCTAATACATAAAGCAGAAGGCAAAGATTTCCAAAATTACATGACTCAAGGGCTAAGATTCCAGACCAACAGGCACAACATGAGTAAACAAGCTGGTCCAAATTGCCAGTGTAATATGTAACCAAAAAGGAGGTGGGGAGTTATAAGAAACAGCTAGTTTAGGGGAAGGGATCCTCTGTTTGCAACCAAGAAAGCCAGCTATATATGAGCTAAAATGAAATGTACAGTTGTCTAAAGTGATGAAATAACCAGGGTTATTCTCCAATGTGATAATCAGTGGGTCATGTGGAATAGGTGTAAGTGTCCTGTATTTTTTTCACTCAGGTAATATAACCTGAATTGCAAAGGACAAAAATGAAGAAAGACAGCATTGAAGCTCCAGAACAACACATGCTTGTGAAAGTATTCCAAATAATTGTGATGCCTACTGAGATTGAAGACCACTGATTTAGGTTATAAATAGTACTTCCTCAGCATGGACTGAATGCTCTTAAATTTAACTGTTTACTTGTATCCTCCATTGTTCTGCAATTACTCTGCAAGAGCAGGCACCGGTCTCTCAAGTGATTATATTCCCATTGCCTAATATTGGGAGTGACAGGACTATGGTGAGTGCTCATAAATACTTGTTAAGTATTTCAATAAATAAATGAGTTCATAAATGCTCTGTTTAGGCAGGATTCCATTACTTGGGAGCCTGAGGTGGGAGAATTGCTATGAGTCTGAGGCCAGACTGGACTACATAGTGAGCTCAAAGCCAGCCTGAACTACATAACAAGGCATTGGCTCAAAGAAGGAAATGTTCCATTTGTTTTCAGGATTATCATTCTTGCTTTACTAGATGATAATTCAGATTACAGACATGAACTAGTAACAATTCCTAAAATGAACTCATAACTTTCGATTATATAACAGCTCTTTGAATTCATCTGAAAGCAGATGTGGCCTGCAATGTCAATTCATGGGTTTATATTCATTCACTAAATATTTATTGAAAGCATCCCTATTTCTAGATCTTCTATTAGGAGCCTCGGTAGCTAGCTAGATAAGTAACATGCATTCTTGGCTCAAAAGAATATATTATTAGTAGCTAAACTGAATTAATTCTAACCCTATTACCCAAATATGCTGCATACTACGGAGAATGAACAGATACAGTCCAGTATGTCTTCTGAGGAAAGAAAGATCATGCAGACCACTGAGTCCTCCAGCCCCGCCACTGATTCTCAGGAGTCAGGCAGGCTTTTGAAGGTAAACAAGCAACATTATCAGTCAAATAATTAAACACATATACAGTGGTACCTCAGCTTACAAACTTAATTTGTCATAAACTGGGGAAGATGGCTTTGACCATGTTTGTCACCTGATTTGGAGGCTACAAATGGAAGCAAAATTTTGTGGAATGCTTTTGTTTGCAAACTGAATTTTTTGCAAACAGAAGCATTCCTGAACCGAATTATTACTATACCTTCTTAAATCTGTTTTTATATTTCTAATTATATACCAATTATGTCCATTTGGATGATACAAGACTCCTCCAACCTACTATTACAAGTTATTATATTTATTAACATTCATTGAATTTTTACTGTGTTAGGTAATGTCAAGTGCAAACTATTATCGTGTCACACTAGCATCACTCTCTGGGAGTAGTTGAATGATCTCTCATAGACCTGGGACTCTAAGAGATCACATGGAAAAGAAAGGTGGAGTGAACTTTATGGAATCCATTAGTGTCTGTCACAGCCTGAGTTGAAGAACAGAAAGTAGGTATAAGGAAAGAAGGTGATTGGCCTGACTATGGATTAATAGCCACAGCGCTATTTTTCTCCGCTATCTTTGAAAGAATTGTCACCGTAGCACAAATGCCTTGTGGAGAGAGACAAACAGCACAACAGAAGACAGTCCGTGCAGGATTATAGACAAAAATATATTATGGATGACTTGACATGGTGAGTGATGCTTACGGCGGTTGCCTAGTTAATCCAGTGGCACTTGGAATTCAGGGCAGGAGAGAAGGAACACATCGACGGAAAAGGGAAAGCATTAGGGGCATCGGGCTAACAGAACAGTATTTAGGGACAACAGCACATTGTCCTTAAAAGTGATAACAAAATGTGTATCTGTAATAGTCTCTTTTCCATTGCTGGAACAAAATACCTAACAAACACAACTCAAAGGCAAAAAGTTTTATTTTGGCCAAAGGTTTCAGAAGTTTCAGTCCTTGGCCAGCTAGCTCCTACGCAGAAATACCATGATGGAGAGAGGCATGTCAGATGAAAATTGCTCATCTCATGGTGACTGGAAGCAGAAAAAGCAAGCAAGAGCCAACGAGACAGGAAGGGGCCAGGAACAAGAAATACAGTGGAACCTTGAGTTAGACTGGCCTGACATACAAACAACTTGGGTTACCACTGGAATTTTAGTTTTAAGTTATGACTAAAGTCTTGAGTTATGACCCAAATGCTGGCTGCTTGTGCTTCTAGATAGTCTAAGATAAAGATTGAACTCTTAAAGAGTTCTGGAAGGAACACTACAACATCCTTTCACGTATGGGGTGAACTGAGAAATCCTGGACCAATGTCTAAGGACCCTGAGATATTTGCCTGTGTACAGGAGAGAGACTTTGAGGGCTCTGTAGAGGATCCTGAGCCTTCAATTGACCAACTTGAGAACAAATTGAATTTCATGAGTCAAGGGTCCATTGTACACCCTTGCTGGTCACAACCCAGCGACCACCTGCCTCCAATTAGGCTCCTTCTTCAAATACATGAGATTCTCAGGGAACATTTTAGATCTAAACCATAATGATGTTCTTGAAAGAAAAGTGAAATCACACACTGTCAGTAAGATGGTTACTCAGTAATTTTTCCTATTTTTCTTTGTACTTTTGTGTTTTTCCCAAGTTTTCTATAATAAATATGCATTGTAATTATAATCACAAAATAAATTCTGTTGGCTTTGAATAGCACTCAGATTTCCAGGCAGTTAACTTACCTGCCAACTTCAAAAGAATAAAGAGCTACTTACCTTCCCTATTATACTGTAAGCTGATATTATAAAATCATTCTAATTTAAAGTAGAGAATTAATGGAAAAATGTAGGCCTAAACTGTAGCATCATGATCCCACATGATGGCCAGAATTTGATTTTTTTTCTAATTGAAAGGAAAGAAAAAACCATGAAAAGCATTTGGACTGAGAGAAATGGCTAAAGCAAAAGCCATTTCTATATCATCTCTGTTTAAAAGTGATATATAAATGGCTAAGTGCTGATGTCATGCTTGAACAATTACTGGCTACAAAGAGCAAGTATTAATAGCTTCCCTGGAAGCCAATCAAGGAGTGCTGCTTGAGAAATAATCATTAATCTCACTGTTTAACATAATGTGTTCTTTGGCTCTGAAGTTAATTGAAGAAAGGTGTCATTATCCCAAACACAAACTAAGCCAAAATAACACTATTTTCCTTGGTTAATGCACAGTAGTGACAAACTCTGAATAAGCTGTACATAGGTCAAAAGCATAAACAATGCTGCCATAGTTCTTTTTTTTAAACTGAAACACATTCATCTCACATATTTACTGGGCTGGGCCTGAATAAATGGACATCCAATTTTCTTCAAAAGAGCAATTGTAAATAAACAAATAAATAATAAATAAATATTTTCAAAGGATAGAGAAAATGTAGATTGAAGAAAGGCCAATGTACCATATTTTAAAATTATAGCATTGAGACATGTACATTTGGGTGATGAAGCTATTACAGAAATTTAAGAAGTGATTTCTACAAAGGTCAGGACAGTAGTTACCTCTGAGGAAGAGCAGGTTGCAATGGAGGCAAAGGAGAGATGTTAGGCCTAAATGACAAAGCACTGCTTCTTTAGCTGGTAACAAGGGTGACTTGTAGTAACTTATGAAGCCTTAAAAATTAATTTTTCTTTTAAAGCAGTGCCTATAAGCCTCATAGGAATGTGGTATTCAATATTGAGTTTGGTATTCAATATTTTTAAAATTGCAACACTGGTTCTTAAATGGAAGCGTTCTCTCCTCCCCTACCGTTCTTTATTCAGGAAGGGTTAGAAATTTGGGATAATGGGTAGGGGCCAAAATTAGCTATCAAAATTACTGTGGGGGCATTTTTAGTGGTCATTATAATGGGGGAACATTAGTAATATTATAAGGAGCAGGGTCTATAAGCACTCTGCACCGCAAGAAGAGGCCTATACAACCAGAAAATAATTCTACCCAAAATGACAACTGTTACCAGTTCATAATTAACCAATCAATAATGATCACCTATTGTCCCATGAAACCAATTATTTCTTTCATGCTCATTTCTGGCCTTTAAGAATAGAAGCACCACACACAGAAAGAGAACACAAACATGCATGTACACATTTTAATGTATCTATATATGTGTGTGTGTATATATGTATCTATCAATAGATACATAAAGAACTAGTACATAAATTTCCAGATTGAACAATTTACTTCAAAGTTTGCCAAATTATAGTTCGATCGTAGCTGGCTAAGTCATCTTTAGAGGTAATCAGTCTAAAAGCAAAGTCCTGAGTAAATGTCCAATCTTTCTAAAATCCAGTTTATTCAAGTATAAAATCGGAATAACATTACCTACTTGTACCAGTCAACTATTGCTAAATTACCAACCACCACAAAACTTAAACTTCATAGTAGCCACTTGTTACAGCCCATAATCAGGTGGGTGGGCTCGCACAGGTTTCTACAACCACAGAAGGGAAGGAGGGACCTGAAAGTGCAGGATGACCTTGGGAGACAAACTGGCTCTTTTTCCCATACACTAAATCTCTCTAGAGAAAGTTAGTTCAAGCCAGTTTACCGCTTGCATCAAGTTTGCTATTGTCCCATTGGCCAGAGCAAGGTCAAGCCCCAAGTCGGTGTCGCAAGAAATCATTAAAGGATGAGGATACAGGGATGGGTGAAAACTGGAGCCATTAACACAATCAGTCTACCCTACTATAGCACAGAAGTGTGACATCACACGTGCCCCTAAGTGTAAAATACACATCTGTGCCAACCGTGCTATAAGTGCTTAAAAACTGTTAGTGATTAAGAGAAGGAAGAGGCTACACAAACATTTTAGACTTCTTACCCAATGTAACTGAGTGTAATCAGTTAAAGATTACAACAGATCTAAATTTAAGACTATTTCTATGCTGGGGATTTAGCTCAGTGGTTTTGCCGCTTTCCCTGCAAGCACAAGGGCCTGAGTTCAACCCCCTGTACAAAAAAAAACTATTTCTAGAGAAGTTCTTTAAATGACAATTTGGAAAGTTTACTACTTAGATGTGGGTTGACTTGATTTGAACTACTTGAAAAAATGCAAAACAAACAATGAAGCAAAGAATAGGAAGAATATGAATTTTGTTAGAATCTCATTAGCAGTGAAACAGTTTGTTGTTATAAATTAATAAATACATAAAAGAAAAACATTTTTATTGTGGTTATTTCACTCCAATGAAGTTTAATAGTCAGCTTTGAAAATGTTGAACCTGAACTTCAAGAAGTTGAAAACTTGTAGAAATTTCTGAGTAGAGGTCTTCATAGGGTTACAAAAGCAAATTCTCCTGTTTAATTAGTAAATGGACTTGGTATTAGTGGACCTTGAAAACAAAAAGCCTCAGGCAAACAAAGATTTCTGTTGACCCCCAGAATCTGCACTGGCCCTGCCCACGGATCGGCTGTCAGGACCAAGCATGATGCATGCAGAGGCAAGCTTGTAGTTTGTTAACTAAATAGGTTGGAAAAGAGAGAAGTAGGCGATACCTACAAAGCAGAAATATATAAGGAGCCAATCATGTACAAGGCACCAAATAATTCCCTTTCCATTATCTTACTAATTTTTTTATACCCAGAAATACACAGACAGTAGCACAGATTATAGAATGATTTTTTGTTAAAGAAATGTCAATATCTTTACCCTTCCATGTTAGATCCCTATTGCTGCTGTAACAAATTACCATAAAGAGTGGCTTAAAACAACACAGATGTTGTTTATAATCTTATGTTTCTGGAGGTCAAAAGTCCTAAAGTAAAGCTGATGTAGGCTCTAGAAGAAATGCTCATTCCTTGACTTTTCAGCTTCTAGATATCACCTATATCAGTTCATGGCCCCTTCTTCCCATTTTTAAATCCAGAAACATGGCATCATCATCCTTTCTCTCTCCCTTTCCCTCTCCCCCTTCTGAGATCACATCTCTTTCTTTGTCTCTGGTCTTTCTACCTCCTTCTTAAAGGTTCCTGCAATTATGTAGGGCCAACTCAATTAATATTCAGCTTGTGACATTCAGTCACATCAGCAAAATCCCTTTGCAATGTAAAATAACACATTCATACATTCCAAAAGTGAAGAATTAGACATCTTTGATAACAATATTCTGCCTACCACACTTGTCCAAGAAGGAGATTAGATATTTTAGATTATACAATCAATAAGCATTTCTTTACTGTCCATTACAAAGAGCTGACATTTCAAATGGGAAAAGCAGTATTTGGTCTTTGTGATTTACAGAAAGATTAAAACAGTATGGGGCCAGGGACTTAGCTCAGTGGTTCCAGAATCTGCCTCACAAGCCCAAAAACCTGAGTTCGATCCCCAGTACCAAAAAAAAACCAAAAAACAAAAAACAGCATGAAACTCTCTACATTCTGTGCACATGCAGACTATAGAAAGGTCTTCAAACTTCAAGGAGAATGCTTGAACTTTGACTTGTCAGGAGGAGAAGGAAGAATGAACTATTTCCCTTCAGTGTCCTAATCATCTCCACATTTGAATTCCAATGAGCCTCTCATGTTCATTAGTAAGAGAGAAACAGAATACTATTTTAGGGAGCTGATGAAAGAAGCTAAATTTGGCTTGGCTGATTGTGGCCAAAGAAGAGTGGTAGCAAAGATAAATTTTCCTCTCCTTTTATTTCCATTGTTTGAGGGGCAGTGGTGGCTTCACTTGCTGGTGCGATTGTCAGCTGTTCCCACAGGATGTAGAAGCAGGATGCACCGTGTGTCAGGTGTGGAGCCTACAGGAAATGCAGGTAGTTTGTGATGAGGACTCAGATACCTCCACACTGCCTACTGTGGCTATAGGTTCCTACCATGCTGATGCTCAGGTAGACCTGGTCCCCCTAGGGTTGTATGTAGCCTTTTGTTTCTGTTGTTTCTAGGACAAGTCATTCCCAAGGAAAGTTGAATTAAAGCTTATTAGAGATACTGAGTATAAATATATCTGATACCTCAAATATACAAAATAATGTCTTGATCCACAGTACCAAAAAAAGAAAGAAAGAAAGAAAATAACGTCTACTTGAAGCCACTTCTTCATCCCCATCTTTCTCTGAACTTGATTTAACTTATTTAGAGACTCTTGTCACCCTCTCACTAAATATAGTTGGCCAGAAGCATTCCAGTATGAGCAGAGATCCCTGATTCTGAGTCTGAGAGGAATGAATTACATCCTTCCCACACAGTTTTCTGGGGTTCTCTTGGAGCTTAGTCCATTCTCACTCAAAAGTTACTCATACTGATAAAAAAAAAAATGGGCAAATGGGACAGAAGGTGTTCTTGCAGCCTTTTGATACTGCGGTATGTTATCTGTCATACATGTGCTGACTCCAAGAGGTAGAAAGGCCTCTTCCAGGGTGACTTTGCCTGCCCAGTAACTTCCTTCACTGATTAGGAATCCAAGTAATTAAATTCTGTTGGGACTTCTGGCTTAATAATGTATATGAATGGACTTTATAGATTTTAAAGGGGTACTTAAAATGATAATAAATTTTATCTTTTATCATGCACTAGGGATGGACATCCCAAAAATTATTCTCTCTGGCCACCTGAAACAGAATTTAGTAGTCTACGATCTTTGATAAACTTACAATCTTGAAAATATAAAGTTTGTTACCACAAAAGTATGAAAGAATAAATATAAGACAATGATCCATTAGAAAAAAGAGACCAATAGCAATTTAAAGTCATAAAAATCAGTCAAGGTTGCAGACTGAAGTGATCAGCACTTTATGAGAAAGGCCATGAGCCAAGGTTGGGTTTTAATGAACAGGATCCAGATAAACTGAAGTGTTCTAAAAAGACTATTTTGGCACTGGGGATCAAACTCAAGACCTTGCGCTTGCTAGGCAGGCATGGTACCACTTGAAAAACCTTATAGATGAGGTGAAATAGGAAGCTAAAAGTGAATGTGCTATTGATGGGTGTGTGAGAATTGTCTTGTCTGAACTGCCTGTGTGTTTAAGGTAATCACAGGATGTGAGATTTGGTAAATTTGAGAGTGATTTCTCTAACACTTTCAAAGCTCAGAAAGCACTAACAGCTGATAGTGCAGGTCCTAGATCCTTCTTTAGTCTCCTGGATGGCAGAGAAATTGAAGGAAAGTTTTCCTTGAGGAAAAGTTTCCTCAAGGAAAGTTTTCCTTGAGGCTGAGCATAGCTGTGTGACATGTGGGAAAGATCACAGGGAGAAAAAACCAGCAGAGGCAGAGTCAGCTGGGACAGGATCACAGACCACAGGGTTGAGCCATGATATATTTGAAATTATGAAAAGTCCAGATGGAAGTTGGTAATGTGAGAATGGAGAGCCATAGAAGCAGATCTGGAAAAACAGAGGGATGCATACGCACAGCTAGCTGCAGCAGTGAGCCAGAAAAGGACAGGAGTCTTCTTCATAGTCTCCCACCCCATGTAAGGGAGAAAAGACCTGAGCAAGGTCAGAGGGCTCTCAGAGCCCCCTGCTGCTTGGGCCACCACGATGCTGAACCCTTCACTCAGAAGTGCAGTTCTCTGGGAGCCACCTGTGGTGCGGACCCCAGAGCCTATGTCCAGTGCAGCTGTAATGCCAGATTGAAGGACACTATTTTCCCCATGTGCCCCATGAGATTTCCATAAAATGGACCCCAATCAGCCATTCTACCAAAGTAAAGGAGGAAATGGAGGGACTGGATGAACACAGGAGCACGCTAGGAGGGTGCTGAGCAGCCTTTCAGCTCAAGTGGGAAGCCTTCTTCTACAGAACATCTCAGAAGGGGAAAACAGGCCCAAGTGACAGCTGCTTCTTTCCAGAATGATAGACAGATCTTAGGCTAATGGAGAGTGGTAGGAAAGGAGGCTATAGGGGGAATAGTGTTTGGTAGAACATGAGCTAAATAATGCTAGCGCATGACCAGAGATTTATCCTACAATTGTCAAAACTTGATTTTATCTTCTTGCTGATAGGCTTGTTTCATTAGCTGCCATCCATCAAACACCACTCTGTACAGGTGGGGTGGGAAGGGAGTTTATTATTTATTGCAGCCTCCCCAGTTGCTCTCTATTTCTTTTCCAACTCTGCCACCAGATGGTGAAGCCAGATGGCTGGGAAAGCTCTCCTGGTGCCTGCACTGTACCTGTGCCAACAAGTTTCATCTTCTCCCAGATGCCATATGAAATGTCAATAAGGAACCTCAACTTGCCAGTGTTTTCTGTCATCTTTTGCTTGGTAAATTTCTTGTCTGTTTTGGCTTATATTCACCACTCATAGAGGAGAGTACTTGTCTTCAAGATCTTTGCAAATTAATTCTCCCATTAAAAACAGTTGAAATAAAATACTAAATGATGCACAATTCTTTGAAAATGTGCATCTTGGAAATTTTATGTTTCACATTATGGTAGAATGGAGAGGCTGGATAACCACAAACTTTTGCATGAGGGCCATCACCACTGAGCTAGAGTAAGGGATGTGGCCAGGTTACGAAAAGACAAGAAGTAGTACTTGGAAATCAATATTGGTGCCTATAACTCTATAGCACAATCACTGCTGAACCAACTCAGTCTTCTGGAGGGGGGAATAAAATAGACAAAGCATGATAAATCAGAGCTTGTTTCCATCCCAGATCACGCCCTCACTAGTTATGTAGTTTTGGCAAAGTTGCCTAATAATCAGAGTTTCAGCTTTTATACATGTAAAGGGGATAAGTGGTTTCTTTACCAAGAATAAGTAATTTTTTTACTTCAGCATGACTAGCTTATAAGCCATAGTCATTTATTACCAACCAACCTAAGTGAGTCAGGCAGAGGTTCAGGTAGAGAAATGAAAAGGGGATGTTGGGCACGATCTGGCGAGGAATGGGTACCAGCACAGATTTCACAGGCTTGAGAAATTTCTCCAGGGCCGGCCATGCTTCTCACCCTTTAACATTTAATGTTTCTGAAATTAAGCCACAAAAGAGATGCAAACATTTCATTCTTTCATGAGAGAAAGAGTGTGTATAGAGTTTTTAATAAGTTTATAATTACCACTGCAACCTTCTGAGTGACAGAAAGCTCACAATTTTTATTTCATGCTAGTCGTAATTGTGTGATTTTTTATTGCTCTGGAAGAAGCAGACTGCTGTCTAATAGGGTTGCTAAGACATGGTCTTCTACCTAGTATGGAACCGTTAATTCTGGGCCCAGAGTGTTCTGGGTTAGAAATGGGGAGGAGGACGGGAAGCAAACCATCCCAAATTCTCCCATGCAAGCTAGAAGAACATATTCTTCTCAATGCTGGCTAGAGAAACATTTTAGAAAAGTGAGCCTCATTTTGTTCTCTCATTTTGTCAACAAGGAATTAAGACACATAGATGCCCACTTTTGGTCAGCGACTTGCTCAGAAACCACACAGCAAAGAAATAACACAGCCAAGAGGCAAACCAGGCCTTTCCACAAAGTCAAAAATGGCCCCTTTATCTCCTGTCAGGATCAAACCATATCCAAAGTGGAAACTCCTCTGAGATTCCTGTCCTGGCTTGATGACTGTGGCCAGGTCTTAGTAACCTAGGGACGCTGAGGTCCTTCCATTGCCACTACTACAATATCCTTAGCAACTCCACTGCAAGACGCTTTGTATTAAGTGTCCATATTGGTTTGCTAGAGGTTCCATAACAAAGGACCCAAGTGTGTGGTTTAAACAACAGAAAGTCATCATCGCATGTTCCAAAATCCAAGATAGTGACTTCTTCTAAAGGCTGTGGGAGAAAATTCTGTTCCAAGCTTCCCTTTTGGCTTAGAGATGGCTCCCTTCTCCATCTGTCTCATTACACGATTTTCTTCCTATATGCTGTCTCTCCTTTTCATAAGGACACCACTCATATTGAATTAGGGCCCATCCCCATGACCTTATTTTAACTTGATTGTGTTTGTAAAAGTGTACTATATGCTCAGGTCATATTCTGAAGTACTGGAGGTTAGACCCCAACCTGCAACCCTAACACTATCCAAGGTCCTCGGTGGGATTCACTGAGCTGCCAAACAATGCCTATCAACCTACTTAGCATCCCCAGTGTCCACCCATTAAGTCTGATTTGTCTGAGTTTTTCAGACACTATTACTTCCTGCCAATCCTTCCAACTCCACCTACTGGCTGGGCACCCTCTCCACACTCTTAGCTCTCTAGTTCCCTAGGGATCTCATTGCTGCTTCCTTTAAATTGAAGAAATTTTCATCTCATTACATTAGCTTTCTAATACAGAACCATGTCCTCTAAATATAACATCAGAAATTCTTATTTATTGATCATTTAAAATGTTCCAGTAAGGGCCGGAGATTTAGCTCAGTGGTTCTGCCACTTGCAAGTGCAAGGACCCGAGTTCGATTCCCGGTACCAAAAAATAAAATAAAATAAATAAACGTTTAAGCTTTTCATGGTAAAATGTTCCAGTAAATGTGCTAAGTGCTTTATAGTCATTGTCTGATTTTATCCACAAAGCAGCTGTGAGGCAGATTCTATGTTTACCTCATTTTGGACAGGAAAAATTAGGGTTAAGAGGTTACAAGACTTTTATAAGGTCATCAGACTTGAAAGTAGTTAAGTTTGATTTTAAATTCAAGAAGTCTGACTTCAGAGGGATAACACTTAACACTATGCCCTTGCCTTTTCCTTAATGAGGTAGCTAAGGAGAAAAGGAATGCAAAAGTTCTAAGCCAAAACTGCTGGGGTCTGGAGAAGTTAAATTCTTTCCCAGGCAGCATTCTCCTCTAGCATGAGTGTCTCTCAGGTGATGGCCTCAGCTTCTCCCAACCTTCCAACCTGCTTGGCTGAGTACAGCTGGTTTCATGGACACTCTACAGTGGTCTGTTAGTAGGAATGTGGCAATCTTCCTTTTCCTAGATAGAAATAATGTGTTGCACAAATTCTCCTAGGATACTTCATTATCCCTACTGGGGCTGTCTCCTATGGTGAAGGTAGAAAGCTTTTAGACCAAACTCTTTATCTTACCTGTTGTGCCCAGATGGGAGGAAAACTTTCAGCTCTTACGCATTACAGTAAATGGTGTCTTCAAAAGTCCACTTCCTGTTTGTAGAAGTCTTATAAAACAATAAAATTTAAATATCTCTCTCTCTCTCTCTCTCTGCCCCCAGTTCTTGACAGTAGAACTTGTAAGTTCCTTGGAATTTTCTAGGCAATGATGTTACAGTTGAATAGGCTGATAACAGTGCAGGTTCTTGTGTACAATGAGGAAAGAATTGCCAGTCTTACCCAGTAGTAAGTAGTGAGCAGCTATGTTTATTGACAGTCACGGGAAGTGGTGCTCAGGGCCAGTCCCTGCCAACAAAGGAGACCAATGCAGACCAAGAAAGGTTCCGGGGTGACAGAAAAGCACTGCAAAGAGGTCAAAAGCAGGAACTACAGCAGAAAAAGGGTATGATAACAAAGGCTTTCAGAATTTAAAGGCCAGACACCTCTACTCTAGGCGCCTCTCACTGAGTGTCTAGGTGTGCTTCACAGGAATGATTGACAGGATGCTGAGTCATCTTGGGGGCTCTCAACATGCATATCTATCCTAGAATTCACTCTAATCTCAATTAATGTGGGGCATGTAGTGCATATTTATGAGCCGTAATGAGGTGGGAACAGAGTAAAAGTGACTAAAGGTCAAGCTAGGAGATCTAACATGAATGCTCTCTTCCTAGAGCTTCAGCCATCTCCTAAGCTTTTGTTCTTTTCTTTTCTAGCTCTCTTAGGACAATGGAAGCAAGAATAACCCTATAAACATCCCGATGCAGCATGTGTGCCATAGGTTCACCACCACTGCCCTACGGTGCTGTTTAAAATTAAATAAAGGAAAGGAGTGACTCCCTCAGCTCCAATGTTTCTAACCATACTAATGGGAGTATCTTTTGTGCTAATGTGGCAACTCTTAGTGGGCTCTTAGGTGTGGCTGGTAATGGGAAAGCCATAATGATGAAACCGGAAGACAGGACATGGCTAAAACTGTCTGGGAAAGAAGTGTGACAAGATCCCAGAACACATGTGCAGAATAGTTCTCAGAACCCTGAATGCGGACTTCTCATGAGAACTCAGCAGCCTAGATATGATGCCAGTGTGGGAAATATTATAAAACAGACAGTTGTCATTAAGCACTTGCTATGGTGTCCCTTCAAGATAGCCTACACTACACCATATGGTGTAGTTTTATTTTTTTTAATTTTTCCTCACTTTTTTCTTGGTCCAAACTCACTCTGCAGAGCTTATTTTTCCTCTACCATTCTGGTTTTTTCCTACTTTTAATAAATGTGAAACCCTGCTGCCATTTCTGTGTATTTTGTACAGTTGTCTGGGACAGAAATGACCTAGAAATCATTCCAAAGAGGAGACTCCTGCACCTCAAAACCCAGTAACAACATGAAGCTTGAAATTTTCCAGCCTATCCTCTGTTCTTCCAAGAAGAAAAGAAGGGCTGGAAATGAGTTAATAATCATGCTTATGTGATGAAGTCTTAGGGAAAAAAAACCCAAAAGCATAGGGCTGTTAGAGCTCCCTGCAAGAACATCCACACACTGGGATGTGTGCTTGCAGCCACAGGACAGAAGCTCCTGCACAAGACCCTGCCAGGTCCTGCCCTGTATTCCTCTTCATCTGGTGGCCCATCTGTATCATTCATCATAACCTTTCTATTTAATCAGCTGGTAAATACATTCCTTTGAGTTCTGTAAGCCATTCAGCAAACGATTGAAACTCAGGAGGAGTCATGGGAACCTTTGATTTGTGGATAAATCAGACAGATCTTGTGGGCAAACTGAGGACTTAAAATCTTTAATTGGTGTCAGAAGTCTTGTGACAATGAGCCCTTAATTTGTGGATTATGCACTAATTCAAATTGATAGTGTCAGAATTGAATTGAATTATATGACACTCAGTTGGCATTTGCAGACAGTTGGAGAATTGAATTTTTGTGGGAAAACTCCACATATTTGGTCACAAAAGTTGTGTTTAGTATGATATAGGGAAGGACTGTTTTTTGTGTATTCAAAAAGATGACAGATTGTTTTGAAAAACTCAGACAGAAGTGTTATAACTTTGGTCAAGTACTTTTGCCCAAGCTGATGAATCATGGTATTCAGCAAAACTTGGGGGACAAAATCCAGTCTATTATAAAAGCCATTACTTGCAGTTACTTTTGAATCTTAATAAACTTAAATGAACAGTAACAATCTTTGTCC